AACTGTTTAAGAACTTGCTTTCAGTATTTGTTAGGCATATGCCAAAAGTGCAATTGCTAGACATGATCATTCTGTTTAATTTTTGGAGAAGCTTTTCCAGTTGCATGTGATTTAACAGATTTGTATATACTACCACCAGAATTAACAGTTCCAGCACATACGCAAAAAAACCCTCCCTTTTGCTGCTCCCTAGTAGTAAATTTTAGTAAGTGGGAAAAGTGCAGAGTCAAATCCTTAGAACAAGTATAAAGGCGAAATAAGAACTTCTCTAAATTTAGGTGATTTTTTTTTGTTTTGGAGACAGTCTGGCTTTGTAGCCCAGGCTAGCCTCAAACTCCCAACCCTCCTCCCTCAGCTTTTTGAGTGCTGGGATTATATTATAGATGGCATATGGTTGTGATGCAACACAACACACAAATATGCCTTCAGCTGCTGAGAGAATTTCCTTGCCCAGAGTCCTACCTTCTTATGGCAGCCCCAAAGACCCTGTTCCTTTACCCTAACTCAATCAACTCTGAAAAGCCTTCCTAGGTCCAGAATTCCCTATGGTTTTAGTTAGCTAAGGCCTCTTTGAGATGCTTTTTTCCTTCACAACTTTCTCTGCTCTCTCTTGCTTTTCTTTTCTTCCACAAGTGTTTTCTCAACAGCACTCCCTAATAAATTCCTTCAGTGTTAATTTCCATCTTAGAATCTGCTTTTCTGAGAACCCAATTTATGATATGTTTTTGTTCGTTTGTATCTGTAAATACAAAGCAAAAGGTGAATAAAGCTTGAAGAGTATTTTATATGCCAGAGCCTAGGAATGTTACCACTATTTAGATAGTACAACTTCTTACAAGCAAGAAAACAGATGTCTTCTCAGAAAAGGGTAGACTCACTCCTGGCACAGTGCTCACATAGCGTGTATTACATTTTGATTTATGTGAGAGAAGCTAATGCTAATCTAGTCTATTCTTTTTAATAGAACCACAGAATAAGAGAACTGTAGACTTGCCTGAAGAAGAATATGTGAAGGAAGAGATCAAGGAGAATGAAGAAGCAGTCAAAAAGACACTTGTGGAAGCCACCCGGGAGTTTGAGGAAGTTGTGGTATATTAACTAGATGTACTCATATTTTTTTTCTGCCTCCATTCTGCTTTGAAACTGGTATCCCATCTGCCCATTCACCTACCTGAGGCCCATGAAGAAGAGAAGTTAAAGACAGAAGAGGAGAAGAGAAAGTGGGACTGACCTAGGCTTTAGGCTTCACAAAGCTTTTAGTTTTCGGCAGGACAGCTTGAGTGGGAGAGAAAAATCAGGCAGAGTAGGGACAGTTATATTTTAATAGCACAAAGCTTCCTGCTTTGAGAACTTTGATCTCAGTGTAAGTTTTTCAGAGTTAGAACAGTGGGGCTGGTGGTGTGGTCCATGTGGCCTAGCAAGTGCCTGGGCCTGAGTTCAACCCCAGTAAAAGTTTGTAGGTTTTTTTTTAATCAAACATTGAACTTTGTGTGTGCGTTTAGAGCTTCGGGGGAATGTTTTTGCTCTTCTGTATTCAGGCTAGCTTCTAGTATGTTCTGGAATCCTACAATAGTAATAGCTGTTGGGAAAAGCAGCTACAAACTAGTGAAGATGAATGCTTTTATAAAAACCCAAATTATATTCTCTAAGAAGAAGGATCTTACTAAGTAACTTTTCTTATTAGCACAAACTAAAATGGCTAAGATTCTTCTTTTTTTTAGACAGGGTCTTAAGAACAGGCTGGCCTCAAAGTCATGATCTTGCTTCCTCAGCCTCCCAAGTGCTGATATTACAGATATGCACCACCATGTCTGGCAGGATTCAGTATTTTGAATTTTTTTTTTTAAAGGAATTGTCTCACTGTGTGTCCCAGACTGGCCTCCAACTGCCTCAGCCTCCCGAGTGATAGGATTACAGGAATACACCACTGTACCTGGCTAGGATTCACTCTAAAGAGGGAAATAATTTATGCCTTCTGAGTGAAGGAATACACAACTTCCAATGGCTTTTGGTCTTTTTTTTTTTGGTGGTGGTACTGGGGTTTGAACTCAAGGCGTCACGCTTGTTGGGAAGTCCCTCTGTCACTTGAGCCACACCTCCAGGCCTCCCAACAGCTCTTTACATGGCTCTTCTCATCTAGCATGCTTTGTAATGTGCCCAAATATAGTATAGCTTGGAAAGTGTAATATCATACAGCAATGTCAAATACTTATTGAGTATGGCCATTGGTAGGTGCTGGGGATGTAGTGATGGGCAAAACATACAGAGCTTTATAATCTGGAAGTGAAGTCAAGCATTTAACAAATGATCTAATGAACATATGTACATTCATACTTGTGTATCTGTCTCTCTCCATGTATGTATATATACACACATGTATTTTCTGTTTTCAGTGTAGCTTCTCATTTGTTGAAAGACCATAGTTAATTACATTTATATGTATGTATGCATATATACACATACATATATACATATATGCGTACATACATGGGTATAAACATGCATATCCAACATAGCGAATTAGAAGAACTTGAAGGAGTCCAGTGTAATTGATAAGCAAAGAGTAAGAGGTGGGAGTTGGGGAGATCACATATTGCAAGAGTTCCAGCTTGAGTAATTAGGATCTGATCTTCTTCATTGTTCCCTGTAGGTAGACGAGAGCCCCGATTTTGAAATACATATAACGATGTGTGATGATGATCCTCCCACACCTGAGGAAGACTCAGAAACACAACCTGATGAGGAGGAAGAAGTTTCTGCAGCCGAGGTGGGAGCTGCCATTAAGATCATCCGGCAGTTAATGGAAAAGTTTAACTTGGATCTGTCAACAGTTATACAGGCCTTCTTAAAAAATAGTGGTGAGCTGGAGGCTACTTCCTCCTTTTTAGAGTATGGTCAGAGAGCTGATGGATACCCCATTTGGTCCCGGCAAGATGACTTAGATTTGCAGAAAGATGATGAAGCTACAAGAGCTGCCTTGGTCAAAAAATTTGGTGCTCAGAATGTAGCTCGGAGAATTGAATTCCGAAAGAAATAATGGGCAAGATAATGAACACAAAAAAGTCGTGGCAGATGAGTCTATGAAAAACAGTTGTGGCCGTTGGGATTTTACGTTGAAACTGGCACTTATCTTCTGACCAATGTTGCTGCTGTTCTGCATCCCAGGTTTTGTAGCCAAGCAGAGTTATGTGGCAGGATAAAATAGAAGAAATTGGCTATACTTAGAGCTCTGTGGCAAGTATCAGTGTATTTTTTTAAAGGAAAATGTAAACTAGAGAACCTGGTAAACCTTATGTTAAATTGATTTTAAAATCTTAAAAAAAAAAAAAAAAAGAAAAGAAAAGGAAATGTAAAACAGAGAGGTTGGTCTACATAGTAGTAATCCTCTGTTGGTATGTAACCCTTGCTGTATTGGTGACAGGAGCCAGTGACAGTCAAAGGAGGAAAACTAGGAGGTCTAGGTCTTTTTTACTCACTATAAATAAGAGCCTCCTGTGCTTTGACAGAAGTTCTAGATTGTGGTAGATTCCAAATCAAGACTCTAGAAATGTGGGAAGATTTAATTATAAGACCCTTGACATGGACTGTCCTAAAGCATTTCATACTCCAGTGAGCTCTGATTTCTGGACTTTGAAAATTCTATATTCACTTTGCTCATTGGCTGTTGTTTGCTTCAAGTCCTCTCATCCCAGTCTCTAGTATCTGTTTCTTTACCTACCACTCTTTTTTTGTTTTAATACGTAAAACCCTAGAGAATCTCAAGAGCTGTCTTATTCTCTGTTAATAGCAATTTTTTTTATTATTATTAAGCATAGTTTTGTGCTAAAGACTGTGCTAGACTTAAAAAATAGTGGATTGGTCCACTTTGTTGTGTTTCTCTTGTTGAAAATAAATATACCTTTGTATTTGAGTCTCATCGATGAGTATTTTCTTCATACACAAAACCTTTTAGATATAAAAAACACAAAAGAGCAAACATTTTGAGCTATTGGTAATTAGAACCAGTAAAGTTCCATTTTGGAGCCAGGCACCAGTGGCTCACGCCTATAATCCTAGCTACTCAGGAGACAGAAATCAGGAGGATCGAGGTTCAAAGGCAGCCCAGGCAAATAGTTTGTGAGACTCTATCCCGAAAAAAACCCATCACAAAAAAAGGGCTGGTAGATTGGCTAAAAGTGTAGGCCCTGAGTTCATACGCTGGTACTGCAGGTATGAACCACTCCACCACCCCTTTTTATGTTAGGTATTTTCGAGATAGGGTCTCAGGAACTATTTGTCCAGGCTGGCTTCGAACTGTGATCCTCCTGATCTCTGCCTCCTGAGTAGTTAGGATTATAGGCGTGAGCCACCGATGCCCAGTCTTACAGGCTTTTTTAGAATGATGCTTTTTCTTCTGGATTGGAACAGAGAAGACCTACACCAGGACTATGCAAAGTGACAAAATAAGGTGAGTTGCTGAGAGCCAAAGAGAAGAGAAACCAATCAGGAACGAGCAGGTGTGTGTTACAGATGTCAGAGCTCTACTTACATGCCTCTAGACACTCACATTCCAGCACATGCCACCAGCAGGGGTCTTGTAAGTGTCTATTTGATGCTGCTCTGCTTAAGCGCTGTGGAGTTAATGCTCCTGGGATTTGAGCATGCATAGTCAGCTTCTTTGCTGACCAAAGAAGTCACAACTGGATTTTTGAAAGTTAGCCCTTGAGTGGGAAAATGCTTTTCCTGCCATCGTTTAGAGGTCCTCAGCAGGACTGTGGTAATCTGTTTACAAGTACCCCCTGCATAGCCTTCCTTTTCTTGTCTCACTCCCTATTTCCCTGCTAGATACATCTTGGAATCATCAGCTGCATTCAGATTCTTTCCATAGAGTGTAGAACTTGGTGTAAGTCAAAGTGCTTGAGCTTGTCCCCTCTTTCTTAATCTTGACCCCTCCTGAATGTGTTGGAGGCATGCAGCATACTTCCAGTAATATAATTAGCTAGCTAAAGTAGTGAGTTTGTTTTGTTTTGTTTTGGTGGGACTGGGTTTTGAACCTAGGGCTTCATACTTGCAAAGCAGATGCTCTAAAGCCAAGCCACACCCCCAGTTCATTTTTGCTCTGATTATTTTAGAGATGGGATCTGTATAATTATTTGCCTGGCTGGCCTTGAACCACAATCCTCCCAAATCCCAGCCTCCCTAGTATCTAGGAGTGCAGGTGTGGGCCACTGGCTGTCAATAGTAGTGACTTTTACATGGGAATTGAGAGGGGTTGTCTGATAAGTATTCATTAAAATGTACTCTCCATTTTATATCTTTGTGTGTGTGTCAGCAATGGGGTTTGAACTCAGGACCTCATGCTTGCTAGGCAGGTTCTCTACCAATTAAGCCACTCCACCAGCTATATTCTCCATTTTAATAGGTCTCTAAAGTGGTGAAAAATTATTGCTTTAAATATAAAGTGGAGATGTCATCTAGGATATCTTAGTAAAGTTACCACAGTATGCTGGCTTTACAGGGCTAGAAATTCCAGTTTTGTTAAATATTGTACAAAGAGGGCTGATATACCCAGATTCTCAAAAACGTATTTAAGCCCAAACACATGCCAGCTATGTTGCTTATTATAAACCAATAACTTACAGACTATCTTGTGTAATTTTTGTGGTCATTAATCTCTTCTGGGAGGTATGGAAAAACTAATTTTTAAAAAATATTTCTGGGATCACAAAGAGAAGCAAGGAAAACGAGTCAGACCTAGTGGCTAATGACATTGAGCTGTGGCTGCATCTGTAAGTCCTGAAGTAAGAACACTTCTTTGAACTGCCAGATTCTGGTTCTTTTGTGTGCATGTGGAGGGGGGGAGGGTATGGGTGTGGGTGTGGTATTAGGGTTTGAACTTAGGGCCTACGCTTTGAGTCATTCCGCCAGACCATTTTTGCGATGGGTTTTTTTTAAAGATAGGGTCTTGTGAACTATTTGCTTGGGGTGGCTTTGAACCGAGAGCCTCCTGATCTCTGCCTCTTGAGTAGCTAGAATTACAGGCATGAGCCACCAGCGCCCAGCAGATTCTTGTTCTTAGGTTTTTCTTTTCTAAACTTTGAGTATGGTGTTGTTATTCTACTTTCCTCTCAAGGAATGAGTTCCCACTCTCCTTCCAGAAATAAGACTGACTCTTTCTCAAACTGAGCCTAGAGTCTGGAATGCTACCTACTCTATCCTCTTATATTAGTTTGCTGGGACTGCAAAACAAAAATACCACAGACTAATGCCAGGCATTGGTGGCTCCTTTGTAATCCTAGTTACTTGGGAGGCTGAGATTGAGAGGATTGCGGATTGAGGCCAACTGGGCAAATAATTCATGACACCTCATCTCCAAAATAACCAGAGCAAGAAATGGACTGGAGGTGTTGCTCAAGCTGTAGAGTTCCTGCTTTGCAAGTGTGAAGCCCTGAGTTCAAATCCCAGTCTCACCAAAGAAAAAACAAAACCACAGACTGGATGGCTTAAACATAGAAATTAATTTTCTCAGTCCTAGAGGCTAGAGTCCAAGATCAAGGGTTGGGAAGGTTTGATTTCTCCTGAGACCTCTTGGCGATCAGATGGATATCTTAAAACTTTGTCTCTTAGAATGTGCTGTAATTCCCTCTTCTTTTAAGGACAACAGTCAGATTGCTATAGAGCTCACCCTAATGACTTCATTTTACCTTAGTTACAAATGTAGTATTTGGAGATACTATGGGTTAGAACTTCAACACATGAGTGGAGGACAGGGGGCACAACTCAGCCGTGCCATCCTCCAAGGGCTAATTTGTGGCTTCTGAGATAAATTTACCACTTCTGTCTCCTGAGGCTTTAGTGCCTGCTTTGACCGGTGATGTCACCCACAACCCACGTAACCAGGACTAGAACAGGCCTGCCAAATTGGGGAGCGTATCCTTGATGCTTAAGTTTGTGCTTCCCAAACACCAGAGGTCTGAGGAGAAGCAGTCAGAAGGAGCTCACTTGGTCCCTGAGTCTTCTGGTGGGTGTGGATGAACATGACTAAACAGAATGAGCCCCCACCTCCACCACCATACACATTATGTGCTAGGCATGAAACCTGACTAATCTGAACTGCTACCTGCTTCCCACTAGCCTGCCACTTTAGCCAGCTCTTTGCTAAGCCTCTACTTCTCACAGGCTGAGTATCAAAGCCCCAGGAACCGCTTGTGCACAGACAAAGCCTCCGTGTTGACAGAGCATGCAGGTATCTTTTCAGAAACCCTCAGTGGAGGAAGACATGGGCATCCGCTGGTGGGATCCTGGGCACTGAGCCTCCTCTGCATGCCCTGAGACCCCACCCCAGCAGGACCCCTGGTTGTCAGCATCTCCTACTGCCCCACGAAGTCTCCACATAGGGAGTAAGGCTACCATGATACCCTGAGTCTTTCCCACAGATACTGCTTCTTTCAAAAGATGAAAATCAAGAAAAACTTAGGGACAGGGAATTGCGTATACTGTGCAGCTGCCGATGAAGCCTAGTGGCAGCCCAGCCACCATCTTTATAACCATTATCTCCGCCTCTCCCTGCCTCACCCAAGATGGACCAGCCTCAGTTTCCAGTGTGCAGGGGCCTAGCAATGTTCTGGCTTTCCTGATGAAGCTGTGGACCCTTGCTAGTGAGTGGATACTAACACGTTCATCTGCTGGAGCCTGAGCAGGAACAGTCCTGGAAGGCTAGAATTGGCCAGGGTCAATTCACTGAGAAGGTGCTGCCCAAGTACTTCAAACAACAATAGGGCCAGCTTGGTGAGGCGAGTTAACATGCACAGCTTCTGAAGAGTGTCCACATTGAGCAAAGGGACCCACCCAGTTCCAACTTCCATGCAGAGCAGCTCCTGGAGAACATCAAGAGGAATGTAATCATGTCCACTCTGAGGAGCAAGGACATACAGATCTGCCAAGACCCTGTCACCAAGTTACTGCTGGACGTACCACTAATAAAGAGGAAAGAGGAGCGCATGAACTCCAAGCTTCTAATGATGAAGCATGAGTTGGAAACTCCCTGGTGAGAGGCAGTCAGCCTGTGACAGAAGCATACACAACTTCAGAAAGTCATCAACAAGTTCATTGGGTTCCTGATCTTGCTGGCACTGTTGAGGTGGATCCTGGGGGTGAAGAGAGAGAGAAATCTCCTGACATAAATGACAGCAGCTGAACACATTCCAGGCCCATATACACCTGGAATTACTAATTAAAGTATGTCCCGGGACCACACTCAGCTCCATTCTTTGCCTACAGTGGCTCCTGCATCTACACTCCAGTCTGCTGTTGTCAGCTCTGGATCCGTAATCTCTGATGTCACTGAACTCGTTCACGCCAGCCCTTTGGCCTCTCCAGGTGGGAGGGTAGATAAGAAGCCACCGGCTAATCACCCCCGGCACATATCAAGCAGGAGCCTCCCACCCAGATCCCTTTGGAGCATACAGTAGAGGTGAGTCCCAGGCACCTGTTCTCCATGGACAGCCCTTTGTCCCCAACTGCCCTTGTTGACTCTGCGGGAGACTGAGCCTGCACTTGTAGCCTAGGCTACAATCCTTACCGCTACTGGAAACCAACACCATCCCCCAGTTCCTGCTCCCACTTCACCCCCGACAGGTGTCTCAGCATATCCTGGCTAGACAGTTTAGCCCCTGTTTCACAGATGTTTGGAATTGCCCACTTTTTCTGTCCCTCCTCTCTCTTCCTTTCTGTGTGGTCAAGTCCAGCCAGGAAACAAGCTCAGTGACTACTTGGACATCGTGGACTCCAACCTCGACAATCTGCAGACCATGCATGGACACCAGCTCCCTGCTGGACCTCGTCAGCCCCTATTACTATGCCTGATATGAACAGGCCTAATCTTGACAGCAGCCTGGCCAGCACCAGAAGCCCCTGTCTTCCCTGGCCTCTACAAAACAGCCCTGACTCAGGAATCAACTGCTGCTTTACCTGGTCCAGTTCCTGTCCTACTAGACCCAGACATAGTGAACATCAGGAATAGTGAAGTTCCTGTGCTCTTTGAGGTGGGAGAGGGCTTGTACTTTTTTAAGAGGGACAATTGTAGACAGCCCCACAAGGGCTCTGAGTCTCACAGTGCCAAGGGCTCCATGGTTTCCAAGAAGCCTCAGTGCATAGAGCTGGTCTTGGGGTGGCTGGGCAGGCAGGCATGCAGTCCCGGGATACCTTGGCTTGGCCAACACAGCTTCAGTGGGGCAAAAAGGGAAGGGTAGGGCTGGACAGTGCTTCTATTGAAGAACTAGTAAGGGTTCCCTGGGCCTGCCCATATACTGCTTTCACCTCAGCCCTGTGGTTGGGATTTCACAGTGACCCTTAGACTACCTGTATGTTGTTCATAGTCAGAATTGTATTTTGGACTTTTCTTTTTGTGGTGCTAGGGATGATGAAAGTCAAGTCCTCGAGCATACTAGGCAAATGCTTTACCATTGAGCTATATTCCTAACCCATACTTTGGACTTTTACATGAGATTTTAAAGAATTGTATTTTGAGCAGCCTCTTCAACAAAAACTGCTGGGAAAACTGGTTAGCAGTCTGCAAAAAACTGAAACTAGATCCATGTATATCACCCTATACCAATATTAACTCAAAATGGATCAAGGATCTTAATATCAGACCAAAACTCTAAGTTGATACAGGAAAGAGTAGGAAATACTCTGGAGTTAGTAGGTATAGGTAAGAACTTTTCTCAATGAAACCCCAGCAGCAGCAACTAAGAGATAGCATAGATAAATGGGACTCATAAAAGCTAAAAAGCTTCTGTTCATCAAAAGAAATGGTCTCTAAACTGAAGAGAACACCCACAGAGTGGGAGAAAATATTTGCCACTATACATCAGACAAAGGACTGATAACCAGAATATACAGGGAACTTAAAAAACTAAATTCTCCAAAATAATGAACCAATAAAGAAATGGGCAAGTGAACTAAACAGAACTTTCTCAAAGAAGAAATTCAAATGGCCAAAAACACATGAAAAAATGCTCACATCTCTAGCAATAAAGGAAATGCAAATTAAAACCAACTAAGATTCCACCTCACCCCTGTTAGAATAGCCATCATAGCAACACCACCAACAACAGGTGTTGGCGAGGATGCGGGGAAAAAGGAACCCTCTTACACTGTTGGTGGGAATGTAGACTAGTACAACACTCTGGAAAAAATTTGGAGGCTACTTAAAAAGCTGACATCGATCTACCATTTGATCCAGCAATACCACTCTTGGGATATACCAAAAGACTGTTACTCCAGAGGCACCTGCACATCCATGTTTATTGCGGCACTATTCACAATAGCCAAGTTATGGAAACAGCCAAGATGCCCCACACTGACGAATGGATTAAGAAAATGTGGTATCTATACACAATGGAATTTTATGCAGCCATGAAGAAGAACGAAATGTTATCATTCGCTGGTAAATGGATGGAATTGGAGAACATCATTCTGAGTGAGGTTAGCCTGGCCCAAAAGACCAAAAATCGTATGTTCTCCCTCATATGTGGACATTAGATCAAGGGCAAACACAACAAGGGGTTGGACTATGAGCACATGATAAAAGCGAGAGCACACAAGGGAGGGGTGAGGATAGGTAAGACACCTAAAAATAGCTAGCATTTGTTGCCCTTAACAGAGAAACTAAAGCAGATACCTTAAAGCAACTGAGGCCAATAGGAAAAGGGGACAGGAACTAGAGAAAAGGTTAGATCAAAAAGAATTAACCTAGAAGGTAACACACGCACAGGAAATCAATGTGAGTCAATCCCTGTATAGCTATCCTTATCTCAACCAGCAAAACCCTTGTTCCTTCCTATTATTGCTTATACTCTCTCTACAACAAAATTAGAGATAAGGGCAAAATAGTTTCTGCTGGGTATTGAGGGGGGGAGAGGGAGGGGGGAGTGGGTGGTAAGGGAGGGGGTGGGGCAGGGGGAGAAATGACCAAGCCTTGTATGCACATATGAATAATAAAAGAAAATGAAAAAAAAAGAATAACCTAGAAGGTAACACACATGCACAGGAAATAATGTGAGTAACTCCCTGTATAGCTACCTTATCTCAACTAGCAAAACCTTGTTCCTTCCTATATTGCTTATACTCTTCTAAACAAATTAGAAATAAGGCAATAGTTTCTGCTGGGTATTGGGGGAGGAGAGGAGGGGGTGGAGTGGGTGGTCAGTGGAGGGGTGGGGGAGGGGGGGAGAAATGAACAAGCCTTGTATGCACATATGAATAATAAAAGAAAAAAAATAAAAATAAAAACTGAAAGGAAAAAAAAAAGAATTGTATTTTGGAGGGGGGGGGTGACCCAAACAATGTATACACATGTAAGTAAATGTAAAAATGATAAAAGATAAAAATAAAATAAAATTCAGCAATAACAAAAAGCATTGTATTTTGTTTCAGAAGAAATTGGAGGTAAATGGGCATGTTCAAATGTTGTCAGAACAGAAGCTGATTCTGAGTTTTCTATTACTTGCAGGTAAAATCATCCTGACTTGACAGGTTATTAACAGTTTTTCAGACAGAAATCTGTGAAGAATTTTCACAGGTGCACAGCATTCCTTCTTCAACTATTTGTGTGTGTGTGTGTGTGTGCATTATTGAAGTTTGAACTCGTTACCTCACTCTTGTTAGACAGGTGCTCTACCCCTTGAGCCACGCCTCCAGTCCACTTTCCTCTGATTATCTTGGACATGGGGTCTCACAAACTATTTGCCCAGGCTGACCTCGAACTATAATCCTCCTGGTCTCCACCTCCCAGGTAGCTAGGACTACAGGAGTGAGCCACTGTGCCCTGCCTAGTATTTGTGAGTGTGTGTGTGTGTATGGGGTTATGGAGCCCAGGCTATTACAAGCATATGCTAGCTACCGCCAAACCCAGTTCTAGAATTTCTTTTTTAAAAATAGAATTATGGAAGTTTCACTGCCAACCTTTTTATGTTTTCACATGTCAAGGGGTATAGCACCTTCCACTTCTGCTCTCAGTGGAGGAGAGCACTAGTGTCTTCACACCCATCACAACCACCAAGCTTTGTTTACTGAGGTCTTACACCTTTGCGGTCTAATATTCATTGAGCAAAACTCAGAAAAATAAGTCAGCCATGAACTCACACCCAGAGATCTCTGCCATTACCACTTGGTGCTTGTCAGTTGACACTAGTCTCTAGCTCTGCATACACATTCGTTTGGTGGTGCCTTTTCTTTATTGTACATGCAGTTTTATAAGCCATGTTTACTTAACACTGCTTCTGTGGACCTTTTTTCACATCAATATATGTTGATCTAATTGCTTTCAAAGATCTGTACACCATTTTTGCTTAATCCACCTTATTAATGGACATTTAAATTGTTATATTTTTCATAACTCCTTATACACCTTTTCTTAGATAATTCTTTTTTTAAAAAAAATTAGAATATATTCGTTGTACAGGAGGGATTCCTTGTGACAATTTTGGATAGGCTTACATTGTACATTGGTTACATCGCCCCCACCATCTCCTCCACAACCACCTCCACCCTAGTTAAAGCACTTGCAAGAGGTTTCATCATTCTATTTCATATATGAATATGAAACCCACCAACCATATTCCCTCCTCTCCTCCATTCCCTCTCCCCCTCCCTTAAGTACCACCCACACTGTACTTATTTTACAGTCCTGTCTTTCCTTATTAGTTCCAAAGTCAATGTTCAAAGTGGTTTCTTGATGTGTCTCCACTGTGAGTAGACTTTACTTTGGTCAGCTCAACCCCTTCCTCTTAGATAATTATTTTCTTTAGATGAAGAGCTATTGCTTGGTTAAGGGGTGTTTCCTTCTTTGCAGTTTTTAACATGTCCATATGAACAACTAGAGGCTGTAGGAAAAAGGCAGGTCAGAAATAAAAGCAGGGTGTGGACAGCATCCATGGATGGGCAGGACCCAACTCTTGGTCTTTTTTTTTTTTAAAGATTAGATTGAAACATTTATTTTTTGTTACAAAAACAAAAAAAAATCCAAGTAGATCATGAAATAAACATATGTTTTAAAGTATCCCAACCTGGTTTCTTTGTCTTAGTGTCTAGTATATAGTTCAAGTTTAGGGTACTTCAATGCTTCTTCTGGATGCTGTGAAGTCTCCATCTTTTTTTTTTTTTTTTTGAAGTCTTCATCTTATAACCATGTTTCTCTAGTTCAGCTCGTAACTGGTTGGAGAAGTAATCCTCTACATTGTCATCATCCTGATTATACTCCCAGACATGTGCATCTTCATCTAAACCATCCCAGTATTCCCAAAGAAACTCCTTAAACTCATCGTCCTCTTTGAGGAAACTGAAATCTACTGGCTGCTTTTTCTCTGACATCAAGACCCTCTAAGCCACTTTGTGGACCAGTAGGAAAGTTGGAATCCACACACCTCTTCCTTGGACTTTTAATTAGCAGGAGCTAATAAGTACATTTTTGCCTAGTTTGGAGAAATTTGTAATTTCAAATTCTCTCTAAAGAGTCACTTGACCATACCTATTTTGATATTTCAGTAACATAAAACTCAGGTTTCGACTGTGATGGGAACTACTAAGTAGTATGATTCACAAGAATGCCAACAAATCATTCAAAATTTCGAAGCTTCCATCTGATCTGTATACCTTTGTCTAAGTTAAGAATATGGGTTAAGCTGGGCACCCAAATTCTTACAGGTGGCTCACACCTGTAATCATAGCTATTTAGGAGGCAGAAATCAGCAGGATCAAGGTTTGAAGCCAGCTCAGGCAAATAGTTCAAGAGACCCTATCTTGAAAAAACCCATGACAAAAAAATGGCAGGTGGAGTGGCTCAAGGTGTAAGCCCTGAGTTCAAACCCTAGTGCTGAAAGAAAAAGAAGAAGAAGAAGAGCAGGAGGAGGAGGAGGAGGAGGAGGAGGAGGAGGAGGAGAGAGGAGAAGGAGGAGGAGGAGGAGGAGGAGGAGGAGGAAGAAGAAGAAGAAGAAGAAGAAGAAGAAGAAGAAGAAGAAGAAAGAAGAAGAAGAGAAGAAGAAGAAAGAAAGAAGAAGAAGAAAGAAGAAGAAAGAAGAAGAGAAGAAAGAAGAAGAGAAGAAGAAGAAGAAGAAGAAGAAGAAGAAGAAGAAGAGAAGAAGAAAGAAGAAGAAGAAGAAGAAGAGAAGAAGAAGAAGAAGAAGAAGAAAGAAGAAGAAGAGAAGAAGAAGAAGAAGAAGAAGAAGAAGAAGAAAGAAGAAAGAAGAAGAAGAAGAGAGAAGAAGAAGAAGAGAAGAAGAAGAAGAAGAAGAAAAGAAGAAGAAGAAGAAGAAGAAGAAGAAGAAGAAGAAGAAGAAGAGAAAGAAGAAGAAGAAGAAGAGAAGAAGAAGAAGAAGAAGAAGAAGAAGAAGAAGAAGAAGAAGAAGAAGAAAAGAAGAAGAGAAGAAAAGAAGAAGAAGAAGAAGAGAAGAAGAGAGAAAGAAGAAGAAGAGAAAAGAAGAAGAGAAGAAGAAGAAGAAGAAGAAAGAAGAAGAAGAGAAAAAAGAAAAGAAAAGAAAGAAGAAGAAGAAGAAGAAGAAGAAGAAGAAGAAGAAGAAGAAGAAGAAGAAGAAGAAGAAGAAGAAGAAGAAGAAGAAGAAGAAGAAGAAGAAGAAGAAGAAGAAGAAGAAGAAGAAGAAGAAGAAGAAGAAGAAGAAACCCACTACAAAAAAAGCACTGGTGGAGTAGCTCAAGCAGTAAGAATGTCTGCCTAGCAAGCGTGAGGCCCTGAATTCAAACCCCAATGCCACCAAAAAAAAATTAAATAAATAAAATAAAGGAATAAGTGAGGTCAATCTCACTCATTATCAAAAATGTTAAAATCTTTTTATTTACTTTTTTAAAAAGCATGCCTAGCATGCCCCAGAACCGAGTACCAGAGGAAAAAAAGTAAGCCTAGCATGGTAGGCAAGCCTGTAATCCCAGCTTCTTGAAAGGCAGAAGCAAGAAGATCACAAGTTCAAGGCCAGCCTGGGCAAAAGTTAGCAAGACCCTGTCTCAAAATCAAAATCCAAAGTGTTAGGGTAAGAGGCCGGCCACCTTCCGAGAGGACAAAGGACACTCGAGACAAAGGAGGTCACACGGCGAGGTTTATTTCTAGCCGGGCTAGGGTCTGAGCATCCGCCTGACACAGCAGGTTTCAGCAAGGACCCTGAGAGAAAAGCTTAAGCAGATCTTACACTTTTTAAAGCATCAATCATCGTCACATAGGAACTCCTCATGCCCCTGGGGTCACATTTTCCTGATCTTGCCCACATCCTGGTGGTGGGGTAATATTATTTATTGGGAACTGGGGAAACACCAGAGGTTTACTTATCAGGTTACAAGGAATGCGTTTTCCCATAAATTAGGGGCTAGTAGTGGAATAGAAACCTAAGGTTTAGATAAGAACAGCAGGGAAGTCCTGCTTTGGAAAGTTTATTTACAAGTGGAGACAAAGAAAGGGAGGAATGGGTGCTTATCTCTGTATGGTGCCTTTCATCTCGGTCCCGAACTTTTGCATGGCTCTAATGAGCAATTCCTCACAGCTCTGCCCAAGGTTACAGCTTTTAATTGACAGTTTACCATGTTTTACAACCCTGTTTCAAGGCTATCTTTCTCTTCACGAGGTTACCCAAGGGTCATGCCGGTTATGGCTGATTTCTAGGCTAGGTGGGCTGCCAGTTAAAGTACCCCAACAAAAGCAAAAGGGCTGGGGGTGTGGCAAAAGTGGTGGAGCCTTGCCCAAAAAAAAACGATGCATGTGGGCTGGTGGTGCAGCTCCAGTGATAGAACGCCTGCCTAGCAAAGATGAAACCATGAGTTCAAACCCCAGTTCTACCAAAAACAATTTTTTAAAGGTTTATTTAAAAATACATAAAAGTTGTGCATATTTATGGGTTACCATTTACCCAGTACCACCAAAAAATTATTCTTTAATTATTTTTATTGTGGAGGGTTCTGGAAAGGCCTTTGCCTTGGACTGCTCTGTGGGCGACTGTGGGCTGAGCTATTTAGCACTACTTCCTGGAACTGCATTCCCTGGTCCCTGAGGTGGACTCCGGTAGATTTGTCACCCTAAGGCTGCTGTATCTGAGCCCTGGGTTGCTCTGCAGCCGCTTGCTTCACATATTGACCAGAGGCAGTGATGGCGAGCTGTCCCCCATTTGAGAAGGCACCGGCTGCTGCTGAAAGAGCAGGGGCTCTCCCTGACTTTGAGGAAACTGACCCTGTGTCTGCAGCTCAGGGGAGGATAGCTGCTGCCCTAGACCCCTGGGACTCCAGTCCATTAGCGGCTGCTCCTGGACGATCATCTGCTCTTGATCATTTTCAGGTTGTTGATGCTGGTACAACTGACACTGGCAGTTCTGCTGCTGTCCTTGGGTTAGCTGGTTCTGCTGCCTCACCTCAAACTTACTATGAACATAATAACGCAAAAGGAAGGGGCTTGTATGCCGCCCTTCCCCAGCCTCAGGCCCGTCCGTGTCAGAATGCTGCACAGATGTAGGAGGATGGCATATTGCTGAAGTGTAAGTAGAAAAAAAACAGGCAAGAGAAGGCCCACTTCCTGTGTCATCTTGACAGTCCAGTGCACAGCCTGGGTACTTTTTCAATGCCTGTGAAGAATGGTTGGGGTCACCTGCTGACTGGATTCCCTTGATTTCCAGAGAGGACAATCAGCTTGGCCGTCGGAGCTTTCTGGCACAAGAGGAACTCTGCTCAGTGTCACAGCCGGGAGCCGCAGCCTGAGTATCCCAGGCTTTAAAAGTAGATAGGCGTGCTCTACGAAGCTGTTTTGCTTCCACCTAGCAAATATTCTGTGCGTTGAGGTGAAAGTCCTGGCTCTGTTATGCTGGAACAGTTCTAAAGGAAAAGTAAGGTGTTATCAAATCCACTCTTCTGATTTTTCAAATTTTCAATAGATTTGTCTATTCAGCCTCTTTCAGACTTGCTTTTGCAATGAGTAAGTGATGGAAACTCAGAATAATCTTTCCAGGACAGCACATGTGATTACAGAGACAGGCAATAAGCTTTCACTAGATTACAACCCCTTCCCTGGAGACAATGACCCCCCCCCCCACCTCTCCACCCCCCGCGCCACCAATGTTTACCTACAAACAAGGCTGTCCAGAATCTCCCAAACTCTTTACCCATTTGCAGTCTTCTATCCTGTTGACTGAGACCCACCTGTACTCTCCACCTACAGACAAGATTCCATCTGCCATCTATGCACGCATCCTCTCCAAACCGTCCCACCAGGGTGAATTAATGGTGTGTTGTCAGACACCCATACTTCTGACCCTCATGCTCGTGATTCTCCTGCTCATGGGGTTCAGTGGCCACAATAAAGGAAGCAGTTTGTGTGCATTGTTAATTTCTGTTATGACCCTGATCATTTCATTCAACTTTTCTATCCTAATTTTTTTCCCTAAAGAGGAGACAGCTGAGCACCAGTGGCTCATACCTGTAATCCTAGTTACTCAGGAAGCGAGATGAGGAGAATCGAGTCCAAACTGCCTGGCAAATAGTTCCACGAGACCCTATCTCGAAAAACCTTCTCAAAAAATAGGGCTGGTAGGCTCTGATTCAAACCCCAGTACACAAAAAAAAAGAAAAAGAAAAAAGTACAACTTCTGAGAAACTTTGGGCTGGGAGTGTGGTTCATAATTTTTTTTTTTTGACAGTACTTGGATTTTGCACTCAGGGCTTCACGCTTGCTAGATAGGCACTCTTACACTTCAGCACTCCCATGCTTTGGGAGTGTGGTCAAGTGGTAGAGCCTCTACCTGCAATGTGAGGCCTGAGTTTCAAACCAGTACTGTGCCTCCATAGCTTTTTCAAAATAAGGTCATTTCTTTTTTTTTTTTTTAATGTTTTTATTTTTTGGCAATCCTGGGGTTGAGTCCAGGGCCTGCATTTCCAAGGCAAGTGTCTACCAGCCCCAGGCTAGCATCATCATGTTTTGAAAGCCTGTGTTTCTGTGACTCTGAACATATCTAGCCCAGATTTCTGCGTAATCGGTTTGTACTGTTTGTTAACAGTGCGTGTGGGAATTAGGATCTGTAAATGTACTAGCTTGGGACAACATAGCTTGACATGTATGTCATGTATTGTCCAGCTGCGTGTTACATATGTGGTTTGTCTTCTCTTTGTGCTCCCATTTCCAGGTAGAGCCATTTGGGAGAGATTTTCTTGCCAGGGAACCACTACTTCACTCTTGGGTTTAGCCCAGTACCACAAAAAACCCAAAAAAACCAAAAAAAAAAAAGGATGACAAAAGATGTCTTTCAAGTTTCTAGGGCTTTCCAGACATGGTGGTACATGCTGGGACCCAGCACTAGAGGCTGAAGTAGGAGAATTATAAGTTTTAAGAC